TTTTTGGTGTAACTCTGGAAGAAGTAAAAGTGCTTCTGAAAACGGCATGTGGTAGGTAAAAGACTAATAAATGCACGGAGCACCGCCCTCATCATTTGTTTTTCAAAAGATAAAGTTGGAACTATTTTAGGGAGAGAAAAAAAAGATCTTCTTCTTAATTTATAACTAAATGACGAAAGTCAGTTAAATTAAGAAGAATTTGCAATTTGCTTAACGATTCAAACATGTTAAAAATGACCCAGAAATAAAAAATATGAAAAAAAAATCAAACTTTCCTTGAAGAATCAAAATATTTATACTACTTATTCTGGGAAGAGACAAACGAAAAAATTGTTTTTATAAATTATTTCACAATTTAATCTGTAGAATATAGATACATCAATCTTCAGCACTGAAAAAATTAAAAAATTCAAAATAAATTGTACTATCTCGCTCTTTAATATAAGATCTTATTTGACTTTTATTTTGATCCTAATTATAAGACCCTAATCCATTTTGTCTTTCATATTTATGTTTTTTTTTAAATAGTCCTTCTAATAATGGTAGTTCTAGCCAATGCACTTGATTAGTAAGGATATATTTAGGATATTTTTTTAATCTCTTCAAATTAGTCAACTAGCCTTATAATTAAGATGAGAAAGAGAGAGTAGTATTTCTAACTTGACAAATTGCCTGACGGAATTCAATCTTAAGTAGAATTTGTCCAACAAATGCATTGTAATGATGACGGTTAAGATGACATTAGTCACGTGGAACTATACTTTGGTATTAATGTCAAGTGCTTTTCTGTTAAACTGATTAGTAATAAAATGACATTATACGGCGTCGTAGTACAATTGTCAACCAGGCAAATTAAAATAATTTTTTAAAAAAAATTATTTAAAAAAAGGCCTTCCTCTTTCATTGCCAGCAGTTTCGCACTTGCCTTAAGTAACTACCGCGAAGCTTACCCCTTCTTTATGAAACCCATTATTTTATTTCATGGCAAACCATACTTACTGCCAACACAACAACACACCGTGTGCGTGGCCCCCACTAGAGTGTTTATCTTATACAGAATACTTTCAAAATATATTTTAGACTTAAGATACAAATTTATTTCAAAAGTTTTTACATGAGTTACAAGGTACTCAAAAATTTAAAATTATAATAATATTTTTTATTATAAATATTTTTATTTTAATCATTAAAATAATGATATTGACCGCTAATATTTTTTACTATTACTGTTTCAGAACTAAGCAAAATTTTAGATCATAATATTTATTTTAAAATATAACAAATTTCTATTTATGAACCTATTTAATATATATACTACTTCTAGTTTTTAATATAAGAGTTTATTTGATTTTTATTTTGATCCTAAATATAAGATCCAAATCTACTTTGTCTTTTATATTTATTCATCTTTTCTTAAGTAGTCCTTATGCTAACGATAAATCTAACCAATACACTTGATTAGTAATGATATTTTTTAAAAAAAAATAACAGTTGTTTATTACAAATAACTAATATAACTAATTTTCTTAATCTGCTTAAATTAGTCAACTAGTTCTTATATTAAGAACCGGAGGTAATATTCTTTAAGAAATAATAGTTTACAAAATAAAAAAAATTAAAGATAAAATTCTACAATTTACTGAGATGAGTTATATTTTCGACTAAAACAAATACTCTCACTTCTTACCCTTCTCAATTTAGGATTATATATGTGCGCATATCTATGTCGTCGCTTCTACATCTGTAAACAATATTCTTGTGTCACCAAAACCCTATTTCTTTTATGGAAGAAGAAGAAGCTAAATCCAACGGACAAGGATGTCGGAAACTGTCTTACCGGGGAGCTCGAAAGCGAAAATGGGGGAAATGGGTGTCGGAAATCCGTGAGCCCGGAAAGAAAACTCGGATATGGTTAGGAAGCTACGAAGAACCCGAAATGGCGGCGGTGGCGTATGATGTTGCCGCATCACACTTCCGAGGACCGTCGGCACGACTTAACTTCCCGGAGTTCTTTGGGGCTCTTCCACGGCCCGCGAGCTCCCAAGCAGACGATGTCCGGCTCGCAGCTCAACAAGCAGCATTAATGTTCAGAAGACCATTAGCATCATATCAATCACCAAGCGATGATCAGACCCGAGTCGGCGGCGGCATGGTTCCAGCCACTGTAGGGCCGTCGCTGAGCCAGATTCAGGCCATAAATGAGTTGCCGTTGGATTCACCAAAGATGTGGATACAAATGGCAGAAGCGTTCATGTTAGGGTTTGATGAGTCGATAGCATTATATAACGATGACGACGATGGATTGGAACTGAGAAGATGGGAAGAAATACTGAATGATCCTATGTGGGATTTCTAATTCAATTCATGTTCTTGAACAAATAATATTGATGATTGATTTTCTTTTTTTCAGGGCACAAGTAACTCGTCAGTGGCAAATTTCAATTTTCAAAGTCCTATATTCGTGGGTTTAATTATGTATTTGTGTATTTAGATTTAGATGTGCGTTTAATTATGTTTCTTTTTTTTTTTTTGGTCCTGTTTCTGTGTGTGTTTACAACATATATGCCTTGAAGGGTAGTGATATTGTACACATTATATATGTATATATATTATGTATATGTATGAATCACTGTTTAACTTTATTTTTAAGGAGAATTTCGGTAAAGAGCCAAATGTAAAATTTTCTTTAAAAATCAGAATCAAAGAAATTAAATCTGAAGTTATACTACAGGCTGCTGAGATCGAAATATAAATAAGGGTTACATTGTTCTTGTTTGTTTTCTTGTTTTGACAACAGCTTTTGACTTTTAAAAACAAAAATAATTAAAAAAATTGTTTGGCTATCTTTTTGACTTAAGTGTTTTTAAAAATGTTTAGTTGTTTTCTATTTTTTTTTTAATTTTGCATTTCTTTTTTTTTGGAAAAATTGAAAAACTCTTTCATCTCCGCTCCGCTGGATGGCTTTTTCTGCATTTGAGGATTTGAGTTCTCATCAAACTTTCATCTTCCATTCTGAGTATGTTTGTTTTCAAATATAATTTTTTAGAACAATTATTTAAACAGATTTTTTTAAAAAAAAAAACTTGTTTATAAAAACAATTTTATAAAATTGTTTTGATAACCAAAAACAAAAAACAGAACCAAACAGGCCCATTATTTTTAGTCTCTAAAGTTTGGTTTTGTTTTGATTTTGATTCCTAAAATTTAAAATCATAGGTTTTGATTCTTAAAATTTAACTTCATTTTAGTCTGCTTAAACATTTTTTATCTTTAGAACAATGTTTTAGGTCGTTGAAATAATGTTTAAATTTTAAAGAACCAAAATCACTTACTTCAAATTTCAAGAACCCAAATCAAAATTAAATAATATAAGATTTTAGGGATTAAAAATGGCATTAATCTTAAAAATAATTTTGTATGGTAAATGACCAGAATGCCCTTAATTTTAGGGTGAAATCGGCAGTTTTCTTTTAAATTATTCTATGATATATAGGAAGATCATGTATGTTACGTTCCTGGCTCAAGTGAAGGAGAAACCCTTTCATCATTATTATCAAACAAAACTTTAGAGGAGGCCAATTAGTAACATAATTATGGACACAATTAATTTACATTGTGACTTCATTGCGTCACTTGTCGAAACTCGATCGAAACGCAAAGCTTCAATTTCTGATAGTTTAAAAACCCTACCACCTGATCTGATTTCTGGGGACTTCTCATTTGGACACCTCCTTCTGTATTATTTTATCCTCTTTATTTTCCTCTTCTTTCCTATGCTTCTTGATTCTAAACTACTTTATGGTATACCATCATAAGTTTATTTCTAGCTATGACTGGTAACGAACATGGTTCCATGTGTTATGAACTCGTAGGTGATTTACCATTTAATTGCTGAGAATAAATATCTGGATTAGTGCTTGGCCGCCTTGGTAGAGTAAATAAATAAATAGACAATGTACACCCATTTTGTGATTCTGTATAATATCCTCTGTACATGTTTAGGGCCCTGATTGTATCATTCCTTATACCCACATTGGGTTTTGCTATAAGAGACAATGGTAGGGTCACCTTTTCGGTACCCTAGAATATTCAAACATTTCTCTACTGTTTTCTTTCTTGGTATCTGAGCCCTAGCCGTCATGTTGACATCCTCAACCACCTCGCCTTCTAATGTGTCGTCTTCCACTGCTAAGATGTATTCCTTATTTCATTCGTCCAGTCAAACCTCCTCTATCAAGTTGGATAGAGAAAATTACCTTATTTGGGAGTTCGTGGTCCTTCCTTTGATTGAAGGTAACCAGCTTGAAAATCATATTATTGGGGAAGATGCGACTCCAACACGGCTTATTACTGAGGAAGGCAAATCTGTCTCTAATCTGGCCTATGAAGAATGGCACACCACAGACTGCATGCTCATTGGAGGGCTCCGTAAAACAATGACGGTGGACGTTAGCGCCTAACTTTTTCACTGCAAAACTGCTCGTGAGCTGTGGAATAGAGCACGTGAACTGACCTGTGCATCTCTCAAGTCTTGAGTGATGGTGTTCAAGATGGAACTACACAACACTCGGAAAATGATCGAATATTTGGCAAAACTGAAGAATCTCGCCGATCAACTCCAACTCGTCGGTGCCCCTATTATGCTAGAAGATCTGATCCTTCACACCCTCAATGGTCTCGACGGTGAGTACAATGCTGTAGTGGTAAAACTCATAGACCAACCAAATCTGACCTGGGTAGTTGTTCAATCTGCTCTCCTTGCCTTCGAATCTTGCCTTGAACAGCTAAATCACTTCTTTGCTCTATCGATTCAACCTACGGAAAATGTTGTTACGCACGAGTCCCATGAAAATCGCCACACTAATTCTGGTCGAGGCTCTCCCTGGCGTGGGTCTCGTGGCCGTGGTCGACGTTCTAGAGGTTGCTAAGGAGGCTATTACAACATGGGGAACTATGGCAACAACTATGACAACCGGCCCTATTGTCATAACTATGATCGGTATGGTCACTATGCTAATCAATGTTATAATCGTTCTGATAGGATTTTTCCTTCATCTGATTTTGGTAGAAATTTTGGGAACTATGGTGGAGCACCTCCTCAAGCACACTATGCCTCTCCACAAACTGTGGTGGACCCTTCTTGGTACATGGATAGCAGTGCTACCTATCATGTTACTCCAAACCCAAATCAATTAGACTCCTATGTCTCAATAGGTAAGATTGATCTTTACACTTGTACTGGTGAGAAGGCCCCTGTTGCTGGTATTGGATCCACTACTCTATATGCTCCTAATACTTCTTTACACGTGAATGATATTTTAGTCATCCCATCTGCTACTAAACAATTGATCAGTGTTCATAAACTGGCTAAAGATAATGGTGTTGATGTTAACTTCTTTGATGATTCATGTACTGTGAAGGCCAAGAAAACAGGGGAGGTACTGGCTCGAGGGACGACAAGTCAGGGAATGTATCCCGTGGGTAATCTGGCTCCAGCAAGGGTCTTCATGGCAGCTGCTTCACCATCTCTTGGATGTGATGAAATTCTTAAGTGGCATTACAAGTTAAGACATCCTAGTTTTAGAGTCTTGAAACTTATTCTGAATAATGTAATGTTAAAGTTCAGTGTGGCACAGAGTTTATATGTGAAGCCTGTCAGTTTGGCAAATATAAACAGCTACCATTTTCAAAGTCTGTGTCTCACACCTCCTTTCCTCTTGAACTGATTCACATTGATCTTTAAGGTCCCTCACCAATGCAATCTGAACATGGTCATCATTTGTACATCCATTTTATTGATGATTACAGTAGATATACGTGGTTCTTTCCTCTGAAACATAAGGGTGAAGCTATCAATGCCTTTAAGATGTTTAAAGCATAGGTTGAAAACAAGTTTAATGCTAAAATTAAGGCTCTTCAATGTGATAATGGTACAGAATATAAACCATTCATTCCTATAGCTCAAGCCGCTGGTATAGAAATGAGTTTTACTTGCCCTTATACTTCTCTACAAAATGGAAGGACAGAACATAAGCACAAACACATTGTTGAAATGAGCCTGACACTATTAGCCCAAGCTCATCTTCCTCTTACCTACTGGGTTGATGCTTTCCAAATTGTATTTAATTAACTGACTGCCCACTCCAATTCTTGGTGACTCTACACCTTTTTTCAGCTCACCAAGACTGAGCTAGATTATAAAACTCTTCAGCCATTTGCCTGTGCCTGTTACCCTTGCCTCAGACCCTATAGTGATAATAAATTCCAATTTCACAGCCAACGTTGTGTTTATCTTGGGCCAGCATCTCAACACAAGGGATACAAATGTCTTAGTGCTACAGGTCGTATCTTTATATCTAGACATGTAGTATTTGACCCATCTTTATTTCCATGTATTACAGGCTTTCTTAACAAAAGAGCTCCATCCACCAAAAATGACTGCATGATTCCATTCATCATTACCTCATCCAAAGCCCAGGTTCACAAGTCCCTTAAGCCCAACAACCTGCCATCAACGGTTCACAGCTCTAGTGATGAGATGCACTTAGAATCAAGCCCAATAGTGGATTCAGGCCCACTTGACAGCTCGCTGAGGTCACTATCTCCACACCTCTCTCCTGCTGATTCCACTTCATCTAACCGTGGGTTATCTCATTTTGGCCCAAGTTCAATAAATCCTGTCCTACAACCTACTGACCAGGTCTCTGTCTCCCCTGAAGCATCGACTCCACTAAACACTCATCATATGGTCACAAGAGCAAAGGCTAGGATTCACAAACCAAAACACCCTTTCATTGGTCTCCTCGCAAACAAAGATCAGCATCCCTTTCCTTCATCACCGAACCATGCACAACTCAAGAAGCCTTGAATTCTCCCTACTGGAAACGAGCCATGGTCGACGAGTTCGAAGCTTTGCAGTGCAATCAAACTTGGGTCCTTGTTCCTTACAATGGTAGTCAGAAATTGGTGGATTGCAAATGGGTCTTCAAGACCAAATTCAAAACCGATGGGTCCATTCTTAAACCAAAAGCTCGCCTAGTTGCTAAAGGCTTTCAACAGTCACCTAGGATCAATTACAGTGAGACCTTCAGTCCGGTCATCAAGCCTACCACGGTTCGAGTTGTTATTACAATCGCTGTAACGTTTAACTGGGAGATTCGGCAGCTTGACGTCAACAATGCGTTCTTCAATGGATATCTTCAAGAGGATGTTCATATGTGACAGCCTGAGGGGTTTCAAGATCCCAAATGACCGACCTATATATGCAAGCTTGTGAAAGCAATATATGGGCTCAAACAAGCTCCTCGTGCGTGGTATGATCGATTGATACTCACCTTGCTTAGTTGGGGTTTTTAG